ACATTTTTCTCATTCAGCACGGCGAATATATCATACCACTCCCTTCTGATTTGGAAAGTTTCTGTTGAAAAATAACATGGTAACCTTAAGGGGGTTTCCTTTGTATGTAACTATCTTTTTGCTTGCTTCTTTAAAAAATCACTGTATTTGCCATTTTAATTATAACATGTTTTGGTGTGGGAGGCGTGGGTGACTTAGTTAAGTGTCCAATTCTTGATTTTGGATCAGGTCATGATCTCAGAATCATGAGATTAAGTCCCAAATCAGACTCCACACTGGGCATGGAGCCTGCTTAAGATTCTCTCTCCCTCTTCCTCTGCCCCTCCCCTACTTGCTTGTGCATACTTGTGTGCTCTCATAGATAGATAGATAGATAGATAGATAGATAGATAGATAGATAGATGATAGATAGAAAGATGATAGATAGACAGACAGATAGATACAATGTCTTGGTGTGGATCTGTTTTTGTTTTTGTTGTAGGTTCTCTTTGCCTCCTGGATCTAGACATCTGCTTCCTTCCCCAGATTAGGAAAGATTTTAGCTATTATTTCTTCAAATAATCTGCCCCCTTTTCTCTCTCTTCTTCTTCTGTGACTTCTGTAATATGACTGCTATTATGTTTGATGGAGTCACTTATTTTCCTAAGTCTATTCTCATTTTGCATAATTCTCTTTTCTCTCTTTGTTCAGCTTGATTACAGTCCATTACTCTGACTTCTAGGTTATTAATTCATTCCTCTGCTTCTTCCAGCCTACTGTTCATTCCATCAAGTGGGTTTTTCATTTCATTTATTGAGCCCTTTATCCCTGCGATGTTTTTCCTTATCTCTGTGTTAAGGATTTCACTGATGACTTCCACTCCTTTCTCAAATTCACTGAGTATCTTTATAATCATTACTTTAAATTTTTTATCAGTGATATTACTTAGATTTGTTTCATTTAGATATCTGTTCTTGGCCTTGTCTTTTTTGGGACAAATTCCTCTGCTTTCTCATTTTGTCTAAGCTTCTGTGCCTGTATTAGGAAAGTCAGGTACATGTCTTACCTTCATAAGGTCATGGCCTTATGAAGAAGAAGTCCTATAGTGACCAACACTGTAGTGTCCTCTATCTTGGAGTGTCTCCAATGTGTGCTGCATGTGGTTGCTCTTGTGTCCTTTCAGGCCAGTCATCTGCAAAGTCTGTCTTTGCCTGTCGTGGGCAGTGTTTGGTCTCTGGCCTGAATGTGGCATGCTTTAACTAGGTGTGCTCTGATCTGCTTGTGAAATGAGACATACTGCCACCACCACTGGATATAGGCTACACAAAACTCCTGCATCTGGAGAGGCAGTGTTAGCAGGGGTTTAGGCTGTTCTTCTTGGGATGGGGACCTTCCAATCTGGAACTGAGGTAAACATGAGTAGAAATGGCTTGCAATTGGGAGGTTGGGGCAGGACTTGGTTTAAGCAGGGAAGGTAGTAAGTGTCTGTGCTGCAATAGTTCCCAGAGGTGGCCCTGTACTTATGCTGAAGAGCGGAGAAGGGAAATAACACCTGCCAGGTCCTTTGTTCCTAGAAGGGTCTCTTTATGAATGCTGACTCTCTGGGATGTGCTCTGGGATGATCAAATAACCTCACCATTGAGTGCCCCCAAGTGCTCTTCAGATTGCTATTTCCACACTGTATATCCACAGGCTGTTTGCCCTGCCTTCTCTCTCAGAGCAGTTCCAATGCCTCCAGGCCTTCCCTGACCTATGCCTGCTGACCTTAGAACTCCAGGATTTAAGCCCCACTGGTTGCCACAACTCATGAAATTCTTGCTTTCCAAACCAATTGCCATGAAGATTTCTTTTTCCTCTGCTCTCCCCCACAGTGTGTTATTCTGTCTCTTGCCCTTCTCCACAATTATGGCTCCCTCCCAGTCACAATGGCCATGATTCATTTCTCTCCCAAACTGTGTCTCTGCACTTCCCATCTTCTTTGATGTGGTTTCTTCTCTACCTTTAGTTGTGGAGTTTGTTCCGCCAGTCTTCAGGTCCATTTCTGGGATATTTAGCATGATTTGGTAGTTATCCATTTGTATTCATGGGATGAGGAAAGCCTAGGACCCTTCTACTCCACCACCACCTTCCCCTCCATTCTCTGCTCTTTCAAATGCTTACCTCATATTTTTCCACTGAAGACTTTTTCACAGTGATTTGCAAATGCAACTTATATATATGATAGTAATCCTGTGTCATATGCTGTACAAGTTCCCTAACACCTTTACCTTTCACTTGATTTAATCCCTTTTGAAATAGAGATTATTTTTATACATTCTTGTCTTTCTACACTTCTTTTATGACCTCTTTCTTTTATACTTAGAAATAAAGTTCTAATTACATATCAAAAATTACTTCTTTTCATTTGTTATAAAGCCTATAATCTTAACAAGTCTTTCTAATTCTATTTGCTCCAATAAACTATCTCACTGATGGCCTTGTAGCTTTATCAACACAAGCTGACCCCTAATTCAGTCCTGAAAATGGGCAAGCACTTATTTTCCATTAAGAAATCAACAAGGAGTCAATTGTGCAGGTGAGAAGGCACATAGTGGTGTTTCATAAAACAACTTAATAAGCTGGGTGCTGACAGATGTACCAGAGCTGCTCTGGAAAGGAACAGAGGTTACAGAATTAAATGCAAGTATGGCAGCATCTCCCTTCAACAGATTTGATTCTTGGAAGGGTAGAGGGGAAAAAAAACCAATGCACATTTTCCTTGTCTATAATGTGCTCTGAGAAGCTGTCCTGGTACAATTTGTGCACTGTGTTCTGTTGTGAGTTATGGCTCCTGGAAAAGAAGTATGTGACTGCATGCATGCTTGTGTGTGTGTGTGTGTGTGTGCGTGTGTGTGTGAGATGGGGGAAGTAAAGGTTGTTACTAATCGTATTATAGGTTTTTCCAGGCTCCAACTAAATACAGAACCAGAGAAGATATTCTTTTCTACCACAGCCTGAGGGATTGAGGGCCACTAACAAGCAAATATTAAATACAGAGTTAGGTTGTCAGGGAAAACTGAAGTATATCGTCTAGAGGATTTTAGAATTTGGATAAAGTTAGTACTTGCTTGATGGTTTAAGCAATGTCTGAATCTGAATCTTAAGAAAAGATAATCCTTTAAAGATTCTAAAAAGGAGCCTTGATTTAGAAGGGCTATATTTTTAAAATGGCACCTGGCCATAGCTGTTGGCATGACAGACAGTGGTGCACTGTTAATAATAAGGAGAGCCTTCCTTTACATGACTACATCCACACACTAATTCTCTCCTAGGTTTCTTGCAGTGTAATAATCAAAGAGGTACATGAGCATTTAAGAAGTTTGGAACATGTAAACATAACATTACATTACAACATAGTATTTCATAAGATTAGATATGTCCACAAAAATTAAAAATATGATTTTTCTTAATGACAGATTTTTCTCCATTTCAATTTCATCAGAAAATCTTTCCCTAGGCACATAACTGTATATAAATATATCCTACTTTAAGAACAGGTGTTAATACCAATATATGTTATAATGAATACATGTCAAAATAACAAAAATTACCAATATTAAACTTTTAAAAAATATTTTTAAATGAAAAGATTCAGTTCACTAAATGAGAACATAGGAGAATAGCAAAAAGAAATAAAAATAATCCTCCCCTGGCTTTTGACTCCAGTTCACTGCATCCAAACTCCAACTTAACAAGTATGCCTTGTGGGTAAATGTGGAGGTAAGGCAAATAAGAAAAGGAATAAGGAGAGTAGAGAACCAGGTTCGATAAGCAATTCGAGGTAGGTGGCTTTGCTATAAAGATTAAGAGGACGCATTTGAAAAAGATTCTTGACTAAGATACCTAGAAGTACAGAGAGAAGAGAAAGAAGAGACTGGAGGAAACTAAACACAGTACAAGATTCCTTGCAAAGTCTGGAGGTCAGTAAGGAGCTGCAGGTGAACTAGCTCAATAACTCCCATGGTTCATCATCAGCCATGCTTCAAGATTTTATTGTTGCTAAGATATGAGATAATGGCAAGAAGGCCCAATTTTTGCTTTTAAACATCTCATCCCTGGAACTGGACTCTTATGCTTTAGTAAAAGGACTACTCGATTTTATTAATTATAGATAAAAACTACCAATGTTAGTAAGTATTTCAGAAAAAAGGAAGAAATGGATTGCTTCCATGCATAGATATTAGTAAAATATTTCTGTTGACTTATTTTTTTAAGAAAATTGGTAAAAAAAAGGGGGCGCCTGGGTGGCTTAGTCGGTTAAGCGTCCGACTTTTGCTTAGGTCTTGATCTCGCGGTTCGTGGGTTCGAGCCCCGCGTCGGGCTCTGTGCTGACTGCCAGCTCAGAGCCTGGAGCCTGTTTCAGTCTGTGACTCCCTCTCTCTCTGACCCTCCCCTGCTCACGCTGTCTCTCTCTCTCTCTCCTACAAATAAATAAAACATTAAAAAAAATAAAAAAAAGAAAGAAAATTGGTAAAAAAAAAAAAATAGAGATTTTAAAATGTGTAATTGTGGATCTGTTTTCCCCTTAATGCAGAGGCAACAGGTATAAAAAAAGCTATTCCGAATCTGGTAGGTCCTGACATTGAAAAACTGCCCAAAAAGAGAAAAAGTCTTGTTTTATTCCTTCTCATCATTATTAAAGAGTAGCAGATTTGGAGGTGCCTGGGTGGCTCAGTCAGTTAGGCTTCCCACTCTGGGTTTTGGCTCAAGTCATGACTTCATGGTTCCTGAGATCAAGTCTCTCATTGTTGAGGGCGGGGGTGGGGAGGGAGTGCTATTAGTAAGGAACTTGTTTGAGACTCATTCTGCCCTTCTCCTTGCTCATGTGTGGGCATGAGGGCTTTCTCTCTCTCTCTCAAAATAAATAAATAAACAGTTTTTAAAATGAGTAGCATATTTTGAGATACTACCACCTTTGGAAATTTGGATTTCACATGACTTAATGCTAATGTCCTTTTCACATTTTCATTGGAAAAGCTTACCTCTTGCAAATGAGATTCCTTTTTCTTTGCAGACAAATTTAAATGTTTCTCAAGAATAGAATAGTACTTTTCACTCTCCTTATCAAACTTCTTCTTTCCATCCTAGGGGATAACAATAACAACAAAATATCCTAATTAGAAACTAAAATTTAATTTTTTTTTTACCATCACCATCAAATGTCTAATAAAAGTATTTAATCAAGATTTAGTGAGCTCCAACTATGTACAAAACTTGATGGAGTAGGAAGAAGGATGTGACACAAGTCATTTGACTATGTACTCAAATATTCTGAGATTCATGGAACTATAGTATGAAGGGAGCCAGGATGCCTACAGTAGAATCCCTCTGAGAACTTTATAATTGATTCTCAGCAGGAGATTCTGACTAATAAGTGTGAGATAGGACCAAGAGATAGTCATTTAGGCTTTTTGGTGATTACAATGAGTTAACAATAAACCAGTTTAGAGAACTATTCACATGGACTCTTTAAAGGAGTCATTATTTCCCAGCTACAAAAAGATACCTGATATTTCAAACCATTATTGATGAGGGGAAAGAGGGGGAAACAAACTTCTAAAAGCTGGTAGCGTGAAATAATTAAGTAAGATGGTTCAAAGTCAAACCAAAAAGATTAGCAACATCTTTAATCATACACTCAACATAACTCTAATGGTTGACCTTTGCTTATTCCTAAAATTGCATTATTTTATAGGGGAAGCTGCAGGGGAAAGCTATACCTTTCAGCTGGTGGCACACTCTTGCAGAAATGCAAATGGAATAAAATCCTAAAGGAGAAAGACATGCCTGGGCATATAATGTTCTCCAACTATAAATATGTTATTCACCAGGAAAGATTTTTCCATTTATGAGTCCTTATGAAATAAATACTAGGTAATCATACTCATAAATTTTATTCACCAAAGAAGTACTCTTCTTTTATTTTATTTCAGTGTTACTGGAAGTGCAGTGTCTGGACTGCTTTAATGAGAGTTAAGTATTTTTCAGCCTATGCAGATTCCTATTTCCCCCATCCAGAGATTCAAGAATTATTACTTTTTTACAAGCTCTTTGATTATTATGCATGTTTTACTTCATTATTTGATTACATATTTGGAAGAGGTTAATAAAAATAATAGATGGATATATGCTTGTTTCAATAGCACACATACGAAAACTGGAACAATACAGAGAAGATTTGCATGACTTGTGTGCAAGAATGACAAGTAAATCTTTGAAGCATGCCATATTTGGGTGAAGTAGGAGATCACAGGCTTCTAGTTATGGAATAAATTAAGTCAAGGGATGAAAGGTACAGCATAGGGAAAACAGTCAATGGTGTTGTAAGGTGACAGATAGTAGCTATACTTGTGGTGAACTCAGCATAATGTATAGATTGTCAAATCACTATATTGCACACTTGAAACCAAAGTAGCATTGTGTGTCAACTATACATCAATAGAAAAAAAACTTTTAATACATAGATAGATGTATGGATGGACAGGAGGAGGAGTGGAAGAAAGAAGAAAGGAAGAACACAGGCAGGCCTCTGGCCTGTCTGTCCCATTATCTAAAGTTGTCAGATTCAGATTGTTAGATCCAAGCAATTTTTCTGATCCACTGCCACCTCTGACATTTTTAACTCACCATGATATAGTTCCAAATATGGAACTTTAGAAAGTTAACTGACAAAATTACACTGAATGTGAAGAGCACTATAAAAGTTGAAGTCACTTTTGGGCCATTTAAGAAGTACTAATATGTTTGTAAATTAAACTACTAGACCTGTAAATGAGAAAAGTCAAAATCTTCAAAAGATTTTTATTACATAAGGAGAAAATGTGGTCAGAGGAATACAATTAAAAAATAGAGTGGCATTCACATCCAAAAGTCAGGTCTACTGAGAAATTCATATTACAAAGTGTGGAGCAGCAAACCCAAAAAGAAGCAGAGAAGCCTGAGGCTCAGGATGGGACAAGCTGTCCTCTCTACTGTTGGAAAAAGACACGTGGGTGAACATTTCACCATTTCCTCAGAGGAGCTTACTTTTTAATCTAGCATTTCATGCCTACACTGACCTTCCCAATCAACCTTTTGAAAAGTCTCTCTCACTAGCACTTTTAAGCTCCTTTTCTTTTTTCTCTGCAGGTCATCTCTCCTCTGACAAAATGCTCATTTCTTCTAATTTCCACATATTCAAGTTACATCCACTTTCAGCATCCAACTCAAAGAGGCCTCGTTCATAAGTCCCCTCCATCAACTCTCCCTCCTTTTTGAATGCTCACTGAGCTTTCTATGAGTTTCATATAGTGTTCATGTTTGACACTGTAGCAGAAATTTATCCTCTTTTTAAAACTGAATATTTGAAAGAGTGTTCAATAAATATTTAATGAACAAGGGAAATTCTTACTCTTATAACACTGAGCACCACAGCCCCTCACAGATATTCCATTTGTTTAAAACAAAAGAAAACAAAACAAAATCCATGATACTAGGACAATTCTACACAAATAGCTTAACGGCTTAACTCAATCCCAATGTGCACAAACACTGAGGGCGCAACCAGTCACATTATAGTATATTACACAATACTGACTCACCTTCATCTTAGGGGACTTAAAATTTCTTGCTATGCATAGAAGAAACTGGGTAAAGGCGAAGAGAACACAGCTGTGGTGACAACACTAGTATCTTTGTTTTCAGTCAGTGTTTGATGGCATTTTTGGAAACAATTCAGTGCCAAGATGTCAGCATTCCTGGCAAAATAAAACTCATTCCCAGAGCACTTCCTGGACTCTTATTCAAATCATAGTGCTTCACACCACCAGGCCAGCAATAGATCTACTCAAAGGTTCCAATGATGTAGACAAAACACACTCAGATCTAGCATAAAATTAAAGAACTGAGTAGGCCGCATGAAGGACAACTACAATGTAGGGAAGCATTTTCTTGAAAACAAAGAGCACTTCTCCTTGAAATTCACATCTGTCTCAAAAGCCATGATGTACTCCTCATATAAGCCAAGTTCCATTTGGATTTAGTGACTTAACACCATACAGCTACCTCTTATCTTTTATTGACATGTTATGGATGTCAGGCGAAGAATCTGCTCTGAAACAAATGCTGCAGAGGGAGGGAAAAAATAACCCATGAATCTTTACTAAATGCTGCACATGATTCCTGTCTTCTTATTGTCACAGCAATATTTGAAAAAAAGAGACTACATTACACTGTCACATTTCCTGTAAATACAGTTAAGTGCATTTGACATAGGTCATCAGTTAAAATGAAGCCTAATAACAAAATAATAAATTTTTTAAATAAAATAAAATGAAGTCACATATACGTATGCATGTATGTGTGATGTGTTTGTGTGTGTGTGTGTATGTATTATAAAATTTAAAATAGATCATCAAATATGGCAAATTAGTCCCCAAACCTGATTTCAGCTGACAAAAGTGTAAGATAAGTTCTGGGTCTGCAATCAATCTGCTTTCCAGATGATACCACATTTACTCTCAGCACAGTGATCATATTATATCTCAGCTTCTAAGATTGGCAAGTGTGGGTGTGCCACACCTTCTCTTTACACAGTAAAGTAAGGAATGGGATGAAAATTCCAAGTGTCAATTTTACTCCAAATTTGTATATAGCAAAAAAAGGTAACTATTATAACATGCAGATAAAAAACATGAAATTATACATAATTGTTAAAAGAAGTCCAAACCAATCCCTTTCATTACCACAAGAGGGTACCAAAGATGAAGAAGAGAGACTCTACCACAACATTTAGAAAAGTACAACTAGAAATTCTCAAAATGTTATCTAGCTGTGTTTTTTTTCTATAGACAATCACTACAAAGTTTTATTTAAACAATTGTCAAGAACCTTTATTTTAATTTGCCATGATATAAATTATTTTTAAAAAGTGAAAAATTATTTTCTGTATTTCTCTATTAAAAATAGAACACATATTTAAGATTTCTACATCAGATTTTAAGATAATTTCAATATTGTAATTACCATCCAAGATACTGTGAAATTCCCCATTCAATTATTTATGTCATCATGTTAATATAGCCATTAGCTAATGAGCAGTTTGTGTATATTTTGAAAAGATACTTCAAGTGAATCCATAGCAGTAGAAAAAGTACTAGGAAGAATAATAAATACCAATAGCTAAATTTCTATTTCAAAAAATATGTGGAATTCTTATAAACTGGCACTGTGCTAAGCATTGAGAGAGTAAGTTATAGCTCTGACTACCAGTCCTGGCTAGAATTCTTCCTCTGATGTTGGGATTAACTCACTGACTAGAATGGCAACTCAGGGTGACATCACCATCTCTGAGTCCTAGAAGTGCCAGATGCTAGGCTGTTCTGAACACATGTTGTGTAGGAGTTTCCTAAGGCTCAAGGGATTCTGGTATCCAGAAACTCAGATTGTTGAGGATATTAGTATAGCTTACACAGCAATGTCCCTCCTGTGATGACTGCACCCAAACATTCCCAGTCTCCTCAACCACTACCCATGAAGTCCTTCCTCCTTAATCTGCTAAAATATAGACATTCTGAAAGGTCTCCTTTCTGTGTAGCTGTACCACTATAATTCACGACATCTCCATCATTTCCAATGACCTCACCACTACCACCACCAGGTTATCAGATTCATAAGGACCAAGACCTTTATGAAGAACTTCTACAAACTAGAATGATTAAAAAAACAAATAGAAATAGATATGTAGGATATAAAGGTGTAAGACACAAAAGAGGAAAGTCCAAAGAGTAATAAGCATTTGAAGAGTTGTTAAAACTCATTAGTAATTAAGATAAAAGCAAATTAAAATACTGGGATATCACATTATATCAGATATGACAAGAGTTAGAAAGTTGAATAATGCTATATGTTGAGTTCATGTGGAGATACAGGAGCCTTTACATATTACTGGTGAAATAGTACAGGGGTACAGCCTTTCTAAAGAGAGATGCTGCACTACTAAGTGGCCCAAAGAACCAGCTTCTGGGTATGAATCCCAAAAAGATTCACACAGAAAAGTCCATAAGGAAAACAGGAATGAGCATATTCATCTGTGGGGACAGGAAGTAGCCAGTGTATTCATCAATGGACAAAAGATGAATTTGATGCATACCATGGAGTGCTAGGCAGAAGTTAGAAGATTAAATGTTAACAGATCTTAAAATGTAATTCTGAGTTAGAAAACACAAAACAGGCGAGTAACACTAAATCATTTACGTAAATTAAAAAGCCATGCGTACAAAATGGTAACAATTTTACAAGAACACAGAACAAAAATACATATATTAAACCCCTAAGAATGGTTGCTGTGTAAGGAAGAAAATGAGAGTGAAGCATGAGTAATCAATTAAACAAAAGAGGGTTGTGAACTAAAGAACAACAGTTGAAAAAAGAAAATTAGGAGTTAATCAGGAAACCCGCCACTTGCCTAATTGAACTATTATTGAGAGAGAATGTGTAGAGAGGAACTTACCTACAAAATAACACATGAAATTTTCCAGAATTGAGAAAAAGTTTCCATATTAAAATTTTCCATGCCAAATATATACAAAGAACATTAAATGAGAAATACTCATAAGACAAAACATCATGAAATATTACAAAACCATGGATAAAAATGAAAACCTGAAAATAGAGGTCAGATAAAAAGTATCAGAAATCAGAACAATAATGAAAAGCGCAAATCATTTAAAATTCTGAGGAATAAATAATTTCAATTTAGGTTTATATATCCAGTAAAATTGGCAATCTAGATTTAAAGGTAGAATAAAAATATTTGCAAACATATTCAAAAATTTTATCCAAGTACCATTTCTCAGAAAGATACTGAGGGATGCACTCCACTAAACCAAAAACAAAATACAGGATCTAGTCTAAACAAAGGGAATTACCATGATTAAGGTAATAATGAACTCCCATGAAAACAGATGAAGTAGTAAACGTATGAAAGCAAACAGTTAAGATGAGAGGTCCAGTAAGAATATTTCTTAAAAAAAAAGAATAAAATAAAGGCTCTGATGTGTTCAAGATATGTTTTGTAACTACATTTGTGCATTTGAGAACAGAGAATTTTATCCTGATTTTTCAAGCAAGGCAATTATTAACTCTAGGAAAAACAAAAACATGCAAAAAAAGAAATGTAACTATAGATCTTGGTAGGGCTTACCTATGTAATCACTGAACACTGGTTTTAAAAAAATATGAGTATATATCTGGTG